TTTTTTTGTTCACCCCCGGCTATGCCTGTCTTCTTCTTCAACCTCCTCCTTCCACACCTCTTCTTCTCTCTCCTTAGTCCCTCCTCTGTCCTCCCTTTCTCTCTCCTCCGGTACTCTGTGTTGATGCTCCGCGGCTATGGCCGCCGTCTTCCCTCGACACCGGACTCCGCAATCTCGCCTTACAGGTAAGTGACAACCAATCTTGGATCGCTCGTCTCTCTCTCTCTCTCTCTCTCTCTCTCTCTCTCTCTCTCTCTCTCTCTCTCTCTCTCTCTTCGTAGCGGTATGTTCAGCGCAACAGGTAAGTTACCAATCTTGTATCACTCATCTCTCTCTCTCTCTTAGTCGTCTTCTTCGTCGTGTCTTCTTGTTGCAGGCGCGCGGCGTCTTCCTCCACCTCGAGGTCCGCTATGGCGGACTGCCTCCTCCGGCGGTCACTTCAGCTATGGCACATCGGCCCTGCAAACGACGCGCGCGTGGAACAGCGGGTACCTGCTCCGATACCAGTGCAATCACACTTCACTTTCTCACACTTGTCATACGTGCAAACGGCGATACAGCAAACTGGCGACATGCGCCCACACAGTACTCAAAGATATCGTGACCAGATAAGAGTTCTCTTCAAACTGGCTATGGTGACTGTGCGCCCACATAACTCACTGTTCGCACTCTCGATCACCCTGGATGTCCCACACGCAACACTCTGTATCCATACACAACACACACACGCACTATGCTACAGCCACTACCCTACTGCTACACTACGCTTCTCTGCCCTCTTCGTCTTCGGTCACACTGCAGACCTCCTCGCACAAGCTGCTGAGGCAGCGCTTCCGCATGGCATCCGCAGGAATGAATGAATGGCTGGACGCAGCCTCTTGATTTATACTTCTACGCTGCGTTGGTCTGCCCTGTGTCCCTTGGCCCTTGGTGCACACAGTCCCAGACGGTACTTGCTGGACAGGACCGGACTGACTAACCGGGACTGTTGACTCAGCGAGGTGGCCTACCACCGCTTGACCACTTGCCTCTGTTGAACGCAGGCTAACTCCGAAAGGCCACTTCTAGAAGTCTCTAACTTGGCCTTTCGGTACTTTAGCAGCTACGACTTTGCCCTTTCAGGTAAGTAGCAGCTACGACCTTGACCCTTCAGGCATCCTACAACTACGACTTCGGAACTATCTAAACTCCTACTCTACAGGTCTACAGTTCAATTCCCTTCTACCCTGGGACCTACAACAATCTACCCACCACTGGCGTTCCTACAGGTCGCAGGTTCAAGTCTACAGGTTAACACTGATACTGTACACGGGTAAGACGGGGAACTAGGGATCGAGCCCTGGGATCTGCATTCGCTACTGCAACTGGTGGATACCGTTTCATGATGCAATTCTGCTGTTGGTTCGAGGTCAAGACTATCTGGACTCATATGTATGATGCTGTTTGATTGCTGAAGTTCGCTATTGCTCATCTTCCGTGCAATTTGGTATCAGAGCTGTGGTACGATTGCGCTCATCTGGCGCTTGTCTTCTGCCTTATGCGGTACATACATGCGGTCTGCTGGGCGAGTTTGGCCGTAAGTGGTGTGTAGTGAGGAGGGTGGAGACAAGTAATAGGCGACCCAGGGGGGGGTGAGGGGATCGCCAGGAAGGCTACTTGGGGTAATGTGGTCTAGACAGTGTGATGAGAACTATCTAATGTGCGATTGATGCGGAGGAGGAACGGCGAGATAATGCTGGTTGTGCAGATGCAGTGACTGGTCATCGCAATCACCATTTGGTCCTGGTGAGATTATCTCTGTGGTTGGGGGCAGCTAATTGAGGTACGTTGCTCTTAACCTTATCTACCCTCTCTGACAATTCTTACCGTGAGGTTGTGTGTTCCTTCTTGAGAGTCCTCTCATTGTGAGGTGTCGAGTGCGCTCAACCTTGAGAGTCAACAATGTTCACGTGGAGCATCTGGGAGAAGATGGGCGGAGCTTTCTGAAGGGCCTTGGACCAAGCACTGGGTCATGGTCACCATGCCAACCCACAGGGAGCAGAGCACGCATGCCTTGCTGCTTGTCCTTTGTTCGGCTGCTGCGCTGTGAGATGGGTACTGAAGGGCAGGCCAGCCCTATGGGAGACGAGACCAGGCGTCTTTAAATAAGCACCGGAAGGGGAACCATTGGCTGTGATCGTCGTCCGGCTGCGACGTAAAATAATTCCTGGAGTCACTTGGGGGCGGACGTTGGGTTGCCTCTGGATCAGCCAATGGTTGCAAGGCTTGCTGCACGCGAGGATAATCGAGTGCAGGGCTGGCCAGCTGTTACATACTTCAATGAGTATGGGCAGAACCAAAGATCAACCAATGTAGGATGAGCATATATGCAGCGGAAGTCTGATAAACGGACTGACTCACATAGACTGACTCACACAGACTGACTCAAGAATCACTCCACACACATACAATCGTGAGATGGTGGGGTTTGGGCCAAGCATAGACGATGCCCAGACCTCGTACACGCATACACAGATGAGAGGTGGGAGGAGAGACGAAGGAGGTGGGGGAGGTAGACAGCATCGAAGGTCACCGAGATAGAATCTGATAGGTCACCGATATGGTAGTCCAAAATTGTCATCCAACAAGATCAAAATGTCGAGGACAATAGGTCACCAATGTCGGAGGTACAGAGTCCAAATGTAACTGGTGTCCGAACTGTGATGAGGCCGAGTATCAACCCCAACAATCTCCAAGTCTCCAATC